TACAACTTTTGATTTTTAAATAACACTCTCGGTATATTTTAACTTTATTCGATAGAAAATGACACTCTAAATAGAATGGCATATCATATGTCAACTTTTGACATTTTCACATGTGGTTTATTTAAAATTGTAACATGCGTTTCATAACTATAATTTGACTCGAAATACCAAGTGTGTGGTACAAAATTATTCGTAAAAAAACAAGCCACCTTTCGGTCAGGAGAAGACACTAAAACATTAAATGATCAAATCTATTTTTCCAAGGTTCCTTGATGAAAAATTAGTGTTTTTAACACAGCCATGGCACTCTAAATTGAAATTTAAAATACGATTTTTAGGCGACAATGTTAAAAGGGGACATATAATATCTCATTATATTCACAGTGTCATTTTTTATCGAATAAAGAAAGAAATATATAAAGTATAAGAAAAAAAATTCACAGTCCTTTACAAAGATGCAACCGGGGGGGCATTGAAAATGACGAATAAAAACGTAAAAATATGATCAGTGTTAATATGAGGGTATTACATACATATGTTTAAATAACGAACTTAACAAAAAACAACAGATTTAAAGATTCACTGAAAAAGTAATAGTGTTAACATTAAATAAAACATTATCAATAATAATTATGCGATCGCACCTATCCGTAAAACAAGCAAGTAAAAAAACCTCGAAAAAAACAAAATAACATACAAAACATCAGGTTAACATGATGACAGATCATGATCAATGACAGATAAAGAATTCTTACGGAAAGTTACACTTTACGATATAATTTTTTAACTGTTAAAGGCAAACCCCATTTAAACACAAAACTTTTTAATACCTACTACTGTATCAAAAAGACTTTTTTTTTAAATTACTAAATTCTTAGCCACGCTTCTGTTTTTCTTGGCTGTTGTGCGTCACGCCAGAGATTAACAGGCCCACGTTTGCACCACAAGGCGATGCTGCAGACCACTAGGTAAACCGGTCGTAGAAATTTATGTTATACAACTTGTAGTCAATCTACACAAATATTATCAAAAACTTTTTTCTTTTAAAATGTGTTCAGATATTGTAAAAAGTATAAGTAAAAATCGCAAAATTTAAATTTGATATGAGTTTCTTAGTTTTTAACTAATATAGTGGCGAATTACAAAAATTCCTTTTCAATGAAAATTAATGGGTTAAATAAAATAATTTAATAAATTACTAGCTTTTTCTCGCGACTACGTTCGCATTACACCTCGAATCGTTCATGCATTGATTTAAATGATTTTTTACTTCTTTATAAAGAGCTAGTGAGCATAGATGTTTTTTATTTTTCATCTTTTTTTATTTATTAAGAGCACTAATACTCTCTTTATAGGTTATTTTTTATTCTTTGAAGGATAATTGAGGAAGATATATTTCGTTATGATGTCACTAAATAAACCCTTGTATAAAATTTTATACTGTCTGCTTTATAATGTTATAGTATTGCATTTTCGTACAGCAAACTTTCATTCTCTATTCTACTCCCTAAGGGTATAAATTTCATAAATTCGCTTTACCTTTGTGCCAATTTTTATGTTTATAATCCAGAGGTCACCAAGTTTTATATAAATTTTTACTAACTTTACCCATTTGGTTGATAAATTTCAAAAACTTCTTCTAATTCTTTTTGTAGGATTTCATTCTTCTAGACCAAATAGTAAGAAATTTTCATACAACAAACTGTTCCGAGATAATTTTACTCTCTAAGAGGATAAATTTCCTAAAATCGCTTTGTGTAGCTTTTGTGTAGCTAATTCACTACGCTTTTGTGTAGCTAATTCACTAATGTCGTTTAAACGAACCTTTGTGCTAATATTTATGTATGCCGTAGCTGGCGGCATGAACTCACTCTAAAATATCTAAAAATGTAATATATAATCTAACTGACACACCACTGACAATGACAAATAATTTATTTCTGGAGGTATTGTGTGTAGGTGTCTTTCAGGTATTTGTTTTAGTATTTAGTCTTTATCTAAAAATGTAATATATAATCTAACTGACACACCACTGACAATGACAAATAATTTATTTCTGGAGGTATTGTGTGTAGGTGTCTTTCAGGTATTTGTTTTAGTATTTAGTCGTTTTACACAAAGAAATAGCCATTAAGCACTATAAAAATACTTCATAACAAATCTACACATATATACCTTTCATTTAAAAGAAGAATCATCAAATTGGTAAAGCGGTTTCGGCGGGATGGATGCAACAAAAAAACCCTTTGAGCTTTTTTTTATAGCTTTTATATATGTATGGATTAATTATTTTTCCAACATATTTTACTTTGCAAATTTTTATAAATATTCAGACTCGCCAATATCGTACTCCACCGTGTCCAGCCTGTTTAGCCAAACGTAGGCCGATTCCTCTTCGGCGGTGTCGTGACCCTGGCCGAAGGAAGAGTCTTGAAGAGGCTCATCCGCGCATAGGAATAAGTTGACTGCGTAGCGTATTGCGTATTAATCGATTCTGAAACTTTCTATCTCGTGTATAACATGTTACGCAAGTTTATTATTGTAATCTCGATTTTAATAGATAAATGTGTGAAATGCCACCTGAATATCTTCCGCCATGACATGTTTTTACTTTTTTGTTATGGTAAAGTGATTTGTATTAACTTTATTCAATAACGTATATTTTCCTCCATTTGTGATTAGCGAAAATTAAGTATAACATTTTAGGAAAAAGAAACACTGTAATATTTAAAAGAATAAGAAGAAATTAGTCTTATTTTGAAAGGAAAATATAGAAAAAACTCTTTCTATAGAAAAAGTCTTTATACTAACCAGAAATTCGGTGACATACGCGGTCTCACCGGAAACATTACTTATTACTTCGCATAACTTGAAGAATATCTACTTTTAATAATGAACACTTCAGAAATACACCAGTAAAAACATTTATTATTTGAGATTAAAACTCGAATTAAATTATAAATATTAGTTACCTATGTTGTTATAGCTTTTATAGGCCTTTTTAACGACTTAATAAGTTACCTAGCGAAAAAATCTGTGCGCGTACCTACCACTATTGTTACAGGTTAATTCGTTAAAGAAATATGTTACACAAGTTAAAAACGCTAAAATTTTAATGGTATTACTTGGCATTATTGGCCTTATAATGTAATTTGTTGGAATTATATCTTCTTTAAATATAATTAGACTTTTTAACGACTTTTAAGTTACCTAGGAAAAAATCTGTTCACGTACCTACCAGTATTGTTACAGGTTAATTCGTGAAACAAATGTGTTACATATTATTCGTGGTATTAGTGGTATTATATTGGAATCAGCTTGGCACTAGTGCGGCATTATATGAGAAATTTTGGTATTTAATTTGTATTTTTGGCATTACTTTGGCATTAGTATACAGACATTTGTCAGCGGTTTATTCCTTGTAGATAATCAAAAAGTTTTTTGATAAAATTTGCTTTTTATGTCAGATCATTTCTATGAAAAATTACATTAGATTTTTATTAAAGACGCTGAGTAATTAAAAGATTGACTAATAAAGCTTGTCCACTTTAAATAAGGGGTCACGAAATATCCTCCTTGGAGTGTTTGGGTTAAGGGGTGTATAATAAATTAATCGTTGTTTTATAATAAAAACGATAAAACATTTATTTGTGAGTAATATAATGCAATAGTTGGATATCTCTCCTTTATAATTAGGTGACTAAAAATACACTAAAATAATTAGAAAAAATTCTTGTACTTATTTAGTAATTACGTCAATATTAATTAATTGACTTTCTAGTCTATTTTATTTTATGTACTTTTTTATAAAAACTATAAAACATTTCTTATTTGTGAGATTAAAAAAACAAAACAATGCATTGGTTAAAATAAGTACATTCAATACATATGTATGTGTTATAACATAATATAGCCATTACTATTATACTATTATTATTAAAATAATATGTGTGTAACATATTTCTTTAACGAATTAACCTGTAACAGACATTTATATGCCCAGTATATTTTTGTTTAACAAACCAATCACCGTTATAGGAGGTATAGATGACCTACCGTTATAGGAGGTATAAGATGATTAATATATAATGTCAACTACTTATCGGATAACAAATTAATTACTACTGTCAGCTAGTTCAGCTACTGTCTAGGTAGAATATACCTAGAGTACCTACACCTACCTATGATGTAGGTAGATTAAAGCTTATTTTGACGTTACCTCTCACTTCGGTGTCACAAGCTGAATTTTTCAGGGATGGAAGTACAGTACATGATATGGGGACCCTTATTCCGAAAGTAGTACAAAATTAAACCGGGTAAAAGGGCACTATCATCAAAAATCGATATATTAATACCACCGTATAGAGAAAACAAATACTTATTTTTTGATCCAGTACACAATAAAGTCTTCGTAGGGAGTAATTTTTTATAATTATTTACAAAAAAAACATTTCTATTAGCGCTTATGACCAAAAAAAACTTAAAACATGAATAATCATTTCAATCATGCGAAAATTTGGTTTAAAAATAGATTTTTTTTAATATAACTTTCATTTAACGAAAAACGAAGGCCTAAATGAAAAAAAGAAACAATTTAAAAGTTTCGCTTAGGTCTTGACAAGGTATCAAAGCAAACCCCATATTTTTTGCTTTTAAACTAATAAAGATATATCAATATACAATTAACGATGTAATGGTTTTTGCGCGCGCTGGCCGACTGCCGCCGCTGCGCCAAGATTTCCTATACCCTTGTATATATGACGTCATGGTGTGGCAAATGTAGCATTTTAATTCAATTTGGGCTCCCTTATATAGGATAACAGAAACATTTTCAATGTTAAAAAGATACCAAGGATGCCATTTAAAAATCAAAAGTTGTAGTCATTTCCGGTGAAACAGGAAGTGAACCAAAAAAATTCAATCAATCCTTATGTCATTTCAGTATAAAAAATGTCTATACCTATGTATGTTAAATAATTATATACATTTATTAATTTCAGGTGGAATGGGTTCAACAACAACACGAAAAGAAGCGTAAGAAAAGAGATTACGTAGCGGATCCTTCTACGTCTCCTTTTAGTCAATTCTTTACCGGAATAGCCCCATCTTCCAGAGTTCACGGTCAGCCACATTATAGAGCCGCAGTTCCTGGCGTAGCCTTTCCGGATCCTCTCTTTAAAGAACAGTGGTACTTGGTAAGTGATAATAATTTTGAGCTATTTTTATTTAATGTGATATTGATATTAAAACATTCATTTGTCGTAAAATATAACTGGACCACTTTTCTAAAAAAGTATATTGATTTAATTTATGTACTATTAGTTCACTATATACTACAAATAAATAATATACTAGCAAATATATCTCGTGCAACCTCTACATGTTGTTAAGGATTCCGTGGGTCCTTTAATTCAAGCTAACGATTTAACTAGAAAACCTAAAACTTCGGTGCAAAATTTCATAGTTCTAAAACTATTTTAACATATTTTTGTACAAATTTTCATGCCTTAAAATTAGTAGGAATTAATTCATCCCTCTTAAGGATAAATTTCCAAAAATCGCTATTGAATACTCACTTTCATCAATGGAAAATTTCACACTTCTAGTGTAGATTTGAAAAAACTGTCATAGGAAATTTTTTAGTTACGCCGCTAAGAGACATCTGTGCAAAATTTCATATATTGGACACATTTTAATTTTTTATACCTATACAACATTACCCTTTATTTCACCCCCTTATGGTGCGAATTTCCAGAAATCGGTACTTAATATTCAATTACGTCACCTAAAAAACTTCTGTGCAAAATTTCATACTTCTAAAAGCGATTTTAACAAATTTTTGTCCAAACATTAACCCTAACCTAACCCCTAATTTTACCCTCCTAGGGTAAACATTTCCAAATATTGCTTATTAATCTTGTTATGAATACTCACTTTCATCCCTTAATGGCCCCTGTGCAAAATTTCATACACCTAGGACATATTTTTTTTTATACATTTCACTCCTAGTTTACTTATCTATGCATTTCCTAGTGCATCTATGCACCTCCCTTATACTATGCATTTCCTAAAATCGCTTCCTAATGTTCAGTTACGCCGCTTAAGAGACCTTAGTGCAAAATAGCATATTTCTAGAACATATTTTAATTGTTGTATATCTAGAATCCTCTCATTTAAACCCCCTTATGGTGCTAATTTTCAGAAATTGCTCCTTAGTGCTCAATTGCGTCATCTAAATAACCTCTGTGCAAAATTTCATACTTCTAGAATCTTCAATTTTTGTACAAACTTTAATTCTTAATTTTGTCCTTTTAGGTGATGCCATTTTCCTTAAGATTCCCCTTAGATACATTCTTTTTTTCAATGTTTATATTTATATATTACTAAATAAGCTATTCTTCATTCTGCTATACCGGATGTTTCTCAAAAGTGACTCACCCCTATAACTTTTTTATTTTTTAGATAAATAAACGAGATTTTGTAGGTTAGTATCTGACATAAATCAGGATTGATTGATATATTCAATTGTTTTCGGTCACTTGCTGTTTCACCGGAATGACTACAACTTTTGATTTTTAAATGGCACCGTCGCGTCGCACAGTGCATCGAACAATGCCCAAAAATAAAGAAAGCAAGTTTCAATTTCATCCAAAAAAAAGTGAGCAATCGATGATTTATAATACAACTGAAATGATAAAAAACATAAAAATCAAACCGGTTTTTGTTGCGGCTCATTTCTTATCACCCGCGAAACTATTGTTTTAAATCCGTGTCTCTTATCAAGCGTATTAATAATTTATCTTTGTGCGTGAAAGTGCGCTTAAAAAGTAGAAAGGTTTGCAATTAACCCCCTGAAAATTATGGAGGACATAGATCAAGGTGTGTGCTTTAAAACAATTTATTTGCTTTGGGTGCTGGCTTACTTGTATTTTTTTCCTACGCTTAACACAATGCCATCCTAAATCAATACAAATTTTTTGGTTATCTATTCTCAAATCAGATTTAAAAAAATCATGAAATATCATTTTGTAGTTTACGCGTTTTCTTGTCGCCTAATTACTTAGAATTAATATAATGTAGAGTTTGTCTGCTCCTACTTGCTCTTTACTTTTTTATAAACGGTTTTATCTGTTTTTTTTTGTTAAATCTAGTAATTCAATTTTCACCAACTTGTTGTCGACCGACTGATACAAAATTTGGTACACACCTTTAGTTTTGATGACAATTCAATTAGTTAGGTACCTATATGTATTCAGTATCTTCAAAATGGCCACCACCACAAAATGGCGTACTACATATTATTTTCAAACCCCATTATCCAGTAAAATTGTATGGCCGTATAGAGCATGAAAATAAAAAAAAATCCGGACAAGCTGATTTTTTCAGGGTTTGTCAGCGACTGTCTTCTGAGTGTAAAATTAGAAAAATCGGAAAATCACTTTTTAGTGCGGGGCGAAATAAACGAGTTAAAGGGGGGTTCAATTATGATGAATCACCCTGTACGTGGATTTTTTTGTCTTATTTATTTTTTTCTTAGGAAAGGGTGTTGTTTTATAACTTTAAAAATAAAATAATCTTTAGATTAATTTTTTCAAAAATGTTCACCAGATTTTCCTAAATTATTAGTTTAAAAACTTACCAATAGGACATTTTGAGTTAGTTTAGAATATTATATATTCTCTGAAAATATATCCTTTATGACTTTATATTAGATATTACATTTTATTTTATTTATTTTCAAAATTATGGAAATAAAAATATCTAGAATTTTCTGACCTTAATTTTGACCTCAAACTCTTGATCTACAACCTCAAAACTCTATGGGTACTAAATTTCAACAAAATCGGATGCATAGTAACAGCGCTGTGATTTTTGTCCCGTCATCCTATATAATCTATGCGCTGTGCGTCGCGTCGGTATTATTTTACTTTATTCGATTGTATATAACAAAAACATTTTTGAAAAAGTCAGAAGTTCACATATTATTTGGTATTCTATTCTTAATGTCGTTTTCTATGAAATGAAGTAAAAAAGTACTCAGGTGTCATTTAAAAATCAAAAAAAATAATTGAATACGTCAATTAAGCTTAATTTATGTCATATACCAAATCTAGAATTTTATCTGAAAAATTAAAAATTTGTAGGGGTGAGCAAATTTTGAGAAACATCCGGTATAATATCATAAATTTAACTAAAGAAACCTTAGACATGAATATGTCCAAATGATGAGACGAAATTCTAGAAAATATTTCCTTAAATATTTCACGCAGGATTACTGTCATAATTGGGCCACCATGTATAAAAATAAAGCGTGACACGGAGCTTAGCTTGAATATTCTTCTTATTAAGGGCTAACTTTTTCCGGCATGAAAAAAACACGGCGTGAAACGAGCATTGCTGATCTTTCTTTTCGTCTCAGATTACAAGAGGGGTCCTTTTTTGTATTATAATAAATGGCAAATTGCTGGGCGTTTTTTTTTCTCTTTTTACCGCCTTTTATTTAGGGGGCTAGTCGACACACAATTAAGATTTTTTTTGTTGTGGTTATGAAGATATTGTAAGGTTACAAAATGTAATAAGATGTTGTAACTTTGCTTATTCATAGTTAGGTATGACGTATGGTATAAAGAATAAAGAAATTGGAATTCAATATAAACAAAAGTTTCAAATTTATGTAATGAGAAAATAATGACTATGAATTTTGAATATAAAAAACTGTATTGACTACTCCTATTATATTAAATTCACAGTATGTAGGAGTTATCGGATTGCAATATCTAGTATTACCACAATTCAGTTAATACTAATTGGATGTAATAATTAATTAATATTATTAACGCTACAGATAGTAAGTGTAACAATGTCTTTGAATTATTAAGTCGAACTAGAATTATTAAGAAAATTGCTATTATCTAGATAATTTGGTTAAGTTATTACCCACTTTTTTAGTAAAGGATTAAATTAGAAAACAATAGGTGATATAGAGAATCCTATATTTCTTACATTACCGTTAATTTTTTTGTTTTAGTTTTATGGTTAATTTGGGGAGGGGGGTGGCAAATTTTATTACTATCCTGATTACAGCCCATTCTTAAGAAGTCTTCTGGCTTTTCATCATATGTATGAATATTTGGATACTTGAATGTTTAGAACCCCCAAGTTTATTATTTATATAAAGTTAATTAAAAATAATTATTTATATAAAATTAATTAGATTAGATTAAACTCTGTTCTGTTTCCCTTTCTTGAATTATAACGAGTTATAACTCATCATACAGTCTCAGGGCTTTGCGAAAAGCCTGTATCTGAGACAGCTCCACCAGAGGCCAGCTCTCAATCTCCGATATCAGCCGTACCAAATGTTATGGCACGGACAGTTGTCGTCTCGGCGCACTCAGTGATGAGGTGTTCTGGGATTTCCCCATTTTCCTCCCAGAATCTGCATTGGCCGTTATTTCTCAGCTTCAGTCTACTGAGGTGTTTGTTGAAGAGACAGTGTCCTGTTAGAAACTCCTTGACAATCCGAAAATTGTTCTTACTTAAATCAAGGAACATCTTTAATTTTTCTCGGTGGTAACTTCTGAGAAATGTTTTCGAGTAAGACCATTGGAGGATTCTCATTCCAGGTTACGGGTGTAGTCTTCTATATTCGTAAGTTCCGCTTTAAGTTGATTTCCATTTGAAAAACAGAACGATTCTGATCGAGTTAGCTCTTTTTCTAGCTATATCGTTTGCTTTTAATTACCTTCTATCTCTTGGTGGGCGGCAACCTAGAGAAGGAGGACTTTATTTTCTTTGCCTAATTTGGTCAGCTTCTCTAGGCATTTTTCGACTAACTTCGAATTGGTGGTTTCTGAGTTGATCGCTTTTAGTCCTGCTTGACTATCGGATAAGATGACTATTTGGGTACTTGCCTAGATATTCGCTTATCTTGTTTGGGCGGTTTTGAGCTCAATTGATATTTCGTTTAGGAAAAACGATAGAGGCTAGTGACGAGACTCATGGCATGTATATGAAGCATCTATATGGCATGTAGGTAACACGCGCAAACCAGCTAAACTGACCAGCAGGTACTAAATAAGCTGTGGTATTTATTTTTATAACATTTCCATTATATCGCTTTCAATGCATGTTTTACTACAAGAATATCTTTCACTAACAAGTAACAACATTTTTAATACAAATAAATCCACGG